GATGGTAAACAAGAACATAACCATTCAATAAGTTCATCATTTATTGATAAAGATTCAATATAATTCGATGTATCATCTTGACATTGTAGAATTAATGATTGTAAATTAGACACGGTTTTAATTAGATCAAGAACTTTTGTTCGATTTTCAATACCTAATGCAAGAACATTACAATGAAAAACAATAGAAGAATTAATGAGTGTATCAAATTCTCTATTATTTAAATATTGAATAGTTAATTTATTTTTTCTAACAAAACGAACTTGTCGAATTGATGTACTTTCAAGTCTAAAAAATTCAAAATCAATAGAAATCCAACTATCAATACCAATTGTCAGTGAATCAAGATGAGATGCTCGATTAAATAATTCTTGTAATTGTTTATAATTTAAATTGTTGCCTAATAGTTTTATATAGAGTGAAGTTAATTGATTAAATTTTGGAATTATTAACCAAAGATTATCATTAAATGGAAAATTAATTTCAAGATGACGAATATTTGGAAATTGAAAAGAAGAAAGAAATGAACAACTTTCTAAATTATTTTTATCATTTATCTGTAAACAATTTGTAACATAATCATATGATGAATAATTTCTATCATTAATACAAGTTGATTTTGATAAAAATTCATTTGAATAAATAAAATCTTTAAAAACATATGGTAAAGTATAAAGAATACCATAACCATTTATATCAGATGGATTCCAATCATATCGAACAAACCATTGATGTTTTTCAATCCAAAAATAAGTTCGAAATGAATCAAGAAATTTATTGATTTCATTTTCTTTTCGATAGAAATTTGGATAATTTAAATGCATTTTTAAGTGAAATTTTTTTATTCTAGGTAAATAATCTGTTAGAATTTTTTCCCATTCATATCCATCTAAATAAAAAGATGTTATATGAAGAGTTACATAATGTAAATTTGGCATAATTTGAAAAAGATTTTTCATCGATGATATACAATAACTATTAAATATGAGTTTCAATGATATCATTGATGAAATAATTGTTTGAAATTGTATATCTTCAAAATCAATTGGAATACTTGTAGATATTTGTCGAAGATAAGGTGTATATTTAAATAAATGAGATAAATTTGTAAAATAACATTCAGTTTTTTCGATAGATAAATATTTAATTGAAGATGAAATTGTTGAAATTTCTTCTAACCATATTCCACTTGAAAATGGACGATTAAATTTCCAATGAGTTAATTTAGGTAAACTCCAAATAGTATTAATTAAGTTCCGAATATTTTCTTTCTCATAGAGAAAATAACAATCAATCATATCAAGTTCTAGAAGATACGGTAGATGAAGACATTGATTTATGATTTGATTTAATAAATCAATAGAACGAATATAATATAGTTTAAGTGACTGTAAATGATTGAAACGATCAAGAGTAAAACCATAAGAAAGAAATACATTAGGTAAATTTGGAGTTTCATCATCATTTGATAAATGTAATGAAACAATTCGATTCATAATTAATGGAAGATGTTGTTTACAAATAATATTAAAATATTGTTTAGAAATTGAACGAAAATCCATATCATATCGTTGAAAATGTACGACAAGTAATTGATTAAAACGAGAATTAAGATCAAAAAACGCACGAAGAAGATGTACACCATTGATAAATTCAAATAAATCTAATAATATTTCATTTGCTAATGATTCTAATCTCATTTTAATTGTATTATTATACTAAAATAAACGAAAAATAAAAAAAAAGAATGTACTTTATTTTTTTCTTTCTTCCTGATAAAACGGTTTTTTCTTTAATGTTATACCGAATAGTAAGTATTCTTTTCTCGTATGACTCACTGATAAGTCCATCCACTAGATTATTATCGACATGACTAAAGTACGAATGTGTGACATTCGATCCTTATTATGATATTTATTTCGAGCAAGTAACAAAATGCATATATATATATATATATATACATATAGGTCTGCAATAATAAATGAATAAGAAGTGAATATTTATTGAGGGAAAAATCCATAAAGAGTTACCGACCGAAAAGAAAAGAAAATGACGACATATACAGGTATTTATAGGATTATTAAGACAAAGAAGAAAATATTCTTCCTTTTTTACTCAGACTAAATCATTGTTCAGTAATAAAACATTTAATAATAGAGAATCGATACATGATTTGACATTTACATTAATCTTGTTTTCTTTTTTGTGTTTGAGTTATCTAAACTTACACGTCATACATCAAATTTTATGTTATGAGTCATCGCGGTACATCGAGCCGTATAACTAAAAACAATCATAAAAAAAAAGAAGACTTCGTAGATTGTATAGATGTTGATAATACGAATATAAATTTGATTTCAAATAACATGATGTACTTTCTTGAAAATTGATTTTTAATATCACAGAGATCCAGGTCGAACTTGTCTATAGTCGAATCCGATGATAGTTAATATATTGTCAAAAATAGCCTAAGACGATTCTCAAATCTCTTTTTTTTTTTGATAAAATATTTTGAAACAATATATTAGAAAAAAAATAGTAGAAAAATTCGTATGTCTAAGAGAATCTTAAACGTCACATAAACTAGCATCACATCAGTAAATTTCATTTCCTAGTAGTAAAGGAAGATGGCTCTTTTTGAATGCAAAGCAATAAAATGAATTCATTTCATTTAATTTCAATATCAATTGGTAGGTTATTATTTTATAATTTAATTCTTCTGTTTTTTTTTATTTAGATCTGTTTTGAAGACGACATTATTTTCTAAATTTGATCTTTCAACAAGTATATCTATACATGATGTATTAAATAATGGAACAAACAAATATGACGATTGTTGGGGGGAAATGGTAACGTGTTCATTTCTCGAGAATTAGCATCAAGTTCGAGCCTAGCTTCTCACGACATCATGTTTGTATTATTCTATTCTATTTCCATATCAAGGTGGTTCGATTCTAATTACAAACCATTGCTCGTGACTCATGTTATCCATGCTCATTGTTTTATGTTTGTACTTTGCTGTAATCGCTTTCTCTCTTCATAAAATTACTTGCAATCAGGACTATATTCCTTTAAGTTCTATCACGGGTAGAGGGTTAAATAAACTACAAATGATGAAATATATACGTTAATCGTTCTGTTGGATTCAACAACATTCTATCTGCATCCTGTACCAAAGAATTCAATAATTTCAAACAAGATTTTGTCGAAAGCTATCGGTTTATCTAAAGTTTTCTGTGGGCACAAATTCGAAATTCTTCGCTTTGGAAACGGAGAAATAGCAAATATTTCAGTTTTAAAGTGCACTGTTTCTTCTTCCTGCATCAGAGTTAATCTTTAACTTAATATTTTTGAAATAAATTTGGTCGTAATGGCCTCTATTTCTATTATTCAAACCGGCATATAATCAATGCCTAGTAACACATGAATGATATATTAACTTATGTTCAACGAGTATTTTTCCTTTCTCTCAAAGAAAAAAAAATCGTCATGCGTTTTTTCCTCTCTGTGAAACACAGATGTCGTCATACAATAACTGAAAAGAGAACTACACTTGACGGCTCTGTTTATTATTTATTTATAAAAGCCATTGTAATGTTCGATATTTTTCTTTAAAATAATATAAGAGAATATTTTTATTTCTTCAAACCAGAGATACCTAGATTTCTTTCTCACTCTCCTAGAAGAACAAAAGTAATTATTAAATGTTCTTTTTTTTTTGCAAATAAATATATTTATGCATCGCAGCGAGTCCTGATTTTTTTAAAAACCATACTTATTCATTCTAGGCTTGATGAATAATTATGATTTTCTGAATTTTGAATGTCGAAAATTGAAAAAAGTCAGGACTCATTGTGATGTATGCAAATTAAAATTAGAGAGTGACTACAATAATAAATGGAAATAATTTGCACTTCATATAAAATCGATTTTTTTATGAATTAATAATACAGTTTAGTTACTTTAAATTGAGAGATTAATAAAAGGTGATATAAAACAAAATCCGAGAATTATGATTTTCTTGTCAAAATATAAGGACTCGAGTCTTGTTAATCTATCATATAAATATAACAATATAAGAGTAGTCAGTATGTTATACTCAAGACTTCACTTTAACAATGTACATAAACATTATTGTTTATTTACTTTCAATCTCCAAGAGATTTTATAATATTTTTTTTTATTACCTTTTTCTTTTGCGTTCTGTGAAATCGAAAATAGATTGAAATAAATAAATTGTCAAAGTGTTAATAAAAATAATAACAAATTTGCACTCTATCTCACAGCGTTATTTTTCAATATGCAACTCTTTCCATTGGTATGCCTTTTATTTTTGTTCAAAACCAATTTGATCAAAAGTAGTGTAGTCCATACATATGATCTTGCATCGCAAATATCGTCACGTTTTGTCTGTATGTTTTCCGTCAGTTGGTTTGGTATTGGTCCATCTGATCCTCAAGGTAGAGGACCAGATGCTTATTCAAGTCATTGGAATATTGGTAGTCAAGGTGGATGTGTTGCTGCAGCTCAACCGAATCAATGTGGATTAGATAGACAAAGACAAATCTCATCATATTATCGACCACTTGCTGGTATTTATTCATCAAGTGGATTAGACAACGAAAGTCTTGCTCGTATTGATCTTATGTTAACAACATTGAGAAAAGAAGGTAGTTGTGATCATGGTCATGCACAATTGAATGCATGGTCAATTCAACTTGAATCTATACAACTTTCATCACGATATATAAATAATCCATCGATAAATGTTGAAATACCTTATCAAGCATATACACATTTTCGTCAAAGAACACAAATTTTAAAATTTTCATCTGGTGTTATTGTACCTGGTTATGATAGTTCTTGGTTATATTCATTTTCAAATTATTTAGGTCTTGGTCGTTGTGATAATTCAAATTCAAGTAATCTTCGAGATACTTGTCTAAATATAACTATTGCTGATTTTGTTGATATTATTTCGGATATTTCTTTAACTTCAAATTATTTTATTAATGGAAAACCACTTATTTTTGTTTATACATCTATAGGAGGAAATTTACTCACATCTACTGAATGGTCATATATTTGGTCGAATGTTCGTCAACGTATTACACTTGATTTCTATACAATTTGTACGACTTCAAGTTTATTAAGTGTATTCGATGGTGTAGCACCTTGGATTGATTTAGTTGCTTGGTCAATGACAAATAATGGTCTTCCGTTGTATAATCGAACAATAGCATGGTTGAAATTAGTCTATGATCCTATTCTATCTTCGAATATTTCATCAGGACGTATTATTATGGGTGGTTTAACTGTTGGTTTTAATGATTTTACTCAATCATGGGGTGCTTGTCAACAACGTACTATTCCTCGTCAACCTGATTTAATTCGTGCTCAATTTGATTATTTTTCATCACATTCTATTCGACATTTATTTATTTATACTTGGGATGATTGGACTGAAGGTAGTCAATTTGAACCAGATGTAACCAATGGAACACAGAATTTACTTTTGTTACGACAATCTATTGCTTCTTTCTATGGTGAAACACAGAATACTGATGGTGATAATCAACTGGTTTTGAGATGGATGAATTATCCTCAATTAAGAAATTGTACTCAAATTAATGTCACATCAGTACCTTCTATTGATATTTCATGTCCAACAACAAATCAAGCTAATTATCTTTATTCATATTCAATAATTCTTATAATTATTAAATTATGTTATTATCTTTAAGACATTTAATGAAATGTAGATTTTATCGTCAATATTCGATTAAATACTTCAGTTGATATTAATAAAATATAAATTATTTAAAAGAAAAATCTGTTGACTATTTCTTTTCATTTAGTATAAAGTATATTATAGAAAAGACATTATAGTAGAGTCGAAACTGGTAGTGACAGTCAGGTCGATCGATATACCAGTATGAGTTATTTTTCTGACCTTATAACAGTCACATCAATCCTTCGATTAGTCATATCTGCATTCTAGCATTATAGTCATGAAATAACAATTCTTCTTTTTTTAATGTTTTTATTACTTATTTTCATACGGTTTTTTTTTGTTTCTTTGTATCTATTGATCAATAGAAAACTTTATAAATTAATCTACTTCCTATATAAAATGAAAATGCTAAATGTTTATACAATTCTGTTTTGATAGCATGATTTGATATGAAAATGGATTGATAAAATAGGATGAACTTCCATGAAATAGAATATGTTGATGCATTTTTTCTCATAGAAATAGTATTCGACATCATTGAAAAGTATTTCATTTCTAAGAAAAAAAATCTCATACCGGCCGGTAAAGAAAAAAAGTTGTATCTACCAGTCAGTAAGGAACCTTCCAACTGGGTTGGACTGACTTTTTACCGTTATCGGTTACAATTCTACATTCGATTATTTTATTATTTATACAGCAAACTCTTTCACGTTAATTGGTTTATAAAACTACTAGACGAAGATTGTCAGAACTTTTGGTCAGACCTAAACTTTTGTATTACCTCCATTTTCAAACTTTCGATATCCATAGAATATTTTTTGCTGAGTAGAAGACTTAAGCATACAGCGGGTACCAAACTTATTCAACAGGATGGGTGTGGTTGTGGTTGTTGAATA